CACCAATAGTCACCACATGAGCATGTTCCCTTGTCAAAATGATGAAAACGATTGATGTCTCTCACAATAATTTCTTGTTTGACTATTTTGGAGATCACCTTGAATATGGCATGGCAATCCAAGCAGGAGCGCAAATTCTTCATTATCCGAATTGGATGCCCGGGAGGTGTCATCACAAGCCCGTATGCTAAAGCCAATCTCTCGCTATGCACCCACAGCATGCGAGCCTTTTGTTCCTCATCTACGTCATGCAACACTACGTTAGTATCAGGAACATAACCTGCCCTGGTGGCTTTCAGGTTTAGCCATTCTAGCATAGCATGTATCACTCGCATATCTGGATGGTCTTCCAACCCTACTGAAAAGGCATGAATTTCACCCTTCATCTCGACCCAACTAAGACCAGTCTCCTTCCTTACGCCTATGTTCCTCATTGATTTCCTCAAAAAAGCAACTTCATCTAAATTCCCAGCTGCAGAATACATGTTTGATAGCAAGACATAAGTTGTTTCATCCTGTGGTTCAATCTCAAGCACCTTCTCTGCAGAAAATCTCCCCAGATCCACATTTTTATGCACTATACAGGAGCTAAGCAATGCACGCCAAACCATAGCAGACGGTGCTGAAGGGATATCTCCAATAAATTTTAGAGCATCATGCAGACGGCCAGCACGTCCTAGAAGCCTAACAATGCAGGTGTAATGCTCCATGGATGGTTTGATGCCATGATCAAGCTTCATGGAGTCAAACAGAGAGAGTCCTTGGCTCACTAAACCCGTGCTACCGTAGACAGACAGGAGAGCAACAAAAGTGATATCGTTGGCTTCAATACCACTCTTGTTCATCCTCTCAAAAAGTTCTCGGGCATGTGCAGCATGTCCATGAACAGCATATCCTGAGATTATGGAATTCCACGAAATTATATCGTGTTCTTTCTGAGTTTCAAATATCTTGCGAGCATCCCTGATGCATCCACACTTAGCATATGAGTCAATAAGTGAATTACTTACAATGGTGTCACTGTTGAATGTGGATTTCTCAACCAAACAGTGAACCTGGCCAACATGATTGATGGATGCTGTGCTCGCGCAAGCCCGGAGCACGCTTGAGTATGTAACTTGAGTTGAAGGCGCCCTAGCAGCACGCATCTCACGGAATACACTCAAAGCATCTTCTCCAAAACCAGACTGGCTGTAACCAACAATAATTGTGTTCCAGCTCACCTCGTTGGCATCCCGCAATGATGAGAAGATCTTGAGTGAGCTTTCCATGTCGCTGCACTTGGCATAGAGATCCATCAGTGCATTTCCAACAAATAACTCAGACTCGTGACCAATCTTCATAGCATTGCTATGAATTTGCTTGCCTAGGTCCAAGAGTGGTATATTAGCACAAGCTTGCAGAACACTTGATAGACTAAATTCATTAGGCAACACAGAAGACTGCATCATTTTGATGAACAGCTCGAAGGCCTGCTCGTTCTGATTGCTCTGTGCGTACAGGGATATCATAAAACTCCAGAGTACCACATCATCATGGGGAACCATGTCGAAAGCCAAGCGGGCATCCTCAATATTCCCACATTTGGCATACATATCAAGCAGCGCACCACAAACGCGAGGCTCGGCATCATAAAGTGTTTTTACTGAACAGGCATGGATACCCTTGCCTAGCGCAACTGACGACAAGCACACGGCAGCCCTGAGCACACTGGTCAGAGCAAATGGGTTGATCTTAGAAGCCGCCACCCTCATCTCCCGGAAAACCTGAAGCGCGTTCTCCGGGCAGTTATTCTCAGAATAGCAAGAAACCATAGCAGTCCAAGCCACAGCATCCTTACCCACGATCCCGTCAAACAGGCGCCTTGCATCGCCGACAGCCGCGCACATGGAGTAGGCATCGACCAGCGCAGACCCGACAAAGGCGTTCCGGTCATGGCCCAGCTTGCACGCGCAAGCGTGCACGGCCCAGGCGAGCCCCAGAGCGTCCATGGCGACGACGAGCTTGAGCAGCGAGGTGAGCACGAACTGGTTCACCTCGTGCCCCTCCAGCCGCAGCCTCCGGAACAGCGCCGCCGCGGCCTCCAACTCCCCGCGCAGCGCGTGGGCCTGGAGGAGCGTGACGAAAGACACCGTGTTCCGCTCCGGCAGCCCGTCGAACACCCTGCGCGCGCCGGCGAAGGGCCCGAGCTTGGCGTACAGGTTGATCAGGACGTTGGCGCAGAAGAGGTCCAGGACGGCGCCCCGCAGGACGTGGCCGTGCACGGCGCGGCCGCCGCGGGCGTCGCCGCGCGCGACGCAGCCCTGCAGGAGCCTGGCGCACGCGTGCGAGTCGACCCCGGGCCCGGGTTCGGGGAGGGCGAGCGAGGTGAGCTCGTCGTCCAGCCACTGCAGCGCCGCGCTGGCCGCGAGGCCGCGGCGGGGCGGGAGCGCGCGGTGTGGGATGGCCGGGAGGAGGCGGCGGCTCGCTCGCCGGATCATCGGCCGTGGCGGGACTGCGAATTCGTCGATCGATCCCCCAAGTAAGAGTCAATTACATCGGTGATGCTTGAACTTGGCGTAAACGATCACTTTGGTGTTAGAACTTGTGGCATACATTGAACTGATGCAATAACTTGGCTCGGTTGTGCAAATACGGTGTATGGATAGGAAATCAACGCTGACTTGGCGTGCCAGCGTGGCATGGGGCCTGCTGTCAACGACTTAAAGCGTGTGACCTGTTGTTTTGGCAACAAAAACCCCTCAAAAAAAATTATTTCTCACAGAAAAGACCATGTTCACGTGGTAGATGTTTTTTTCTTTTTCTGTATGACAAGTAGATGCTGACGTGAAAACTAAAAGAAAAAAGCTTAGGCCTCTACATTCGAACGCACACTACCGCCAGGACGCATACCCTCACAGCCACGGCAACATCTGCTCCCGGATGTTCAACAAGTATAACAGTCGTTAGTATAATTACCTGCAGATGTACTCTCGAAAAAAATTGGCTACAGATAGTGCGGCCCATTTTACATGCACTAGTTATTTTTAAAATAATTGCTAAACGTAAATGATAAAAATAAAGTTCAAAACAATTACGTGTGATAAATATTATACACACAAACGATGGTTAGTACATAAAAGTTTTTAAACAGACATATATTATATAAATTGTTTAGTAAATGCGGGCACTTAAAATGTTTAAAGAATGTAAAAAAGTACAGAGTTACAGCTATATTTAAATTATTCAAATTGATGAATATAAACATTTACTAACTATTTATGAATATTCACTTTTGACTTATATTCAAAACAAATATCTAATTTAAATATTAGCACGACTGAATATTCATATTACATTTTAAATCATAAACTACCTACTTTTAATTATACAAACATCGAATTATACAAATATGCATATGATTATTGAAATGTTTGTAGAATTAAAATAACATTTATGAATTATAATGCTAAAACTATTTATATTTCTTATTCTACAAATATTTTTATAATTTCACAAATATTATTTTACATATATATGTATTTCTAAAATTATGTGTGAACAGTTTAGGAAAGTAATTTATTTTGTTTCTATGTACAATAATATTTATAATTCACGAAAATTGAAACATTATTCTGATTAATGAGATTAGAATTTTCATACCTACAAATATCTAAATAAAACAAACAGGAACAAATGGGCCGCACTGACAGCAGTCCATTCCAGCCCCACAAGCACCTCTATTCGACTACGGGAATTTTTGGTCTATGGGGACATATGCACCATATATGGAAAAAAAATAGTAATTCAACAAAAAATCAAAAATTTCTGAAAATATTTTTGAAATAAACTTGACCTTCTATTGTACTCGTGAGAAAAAAAATCCACAAAAAAATATCCCTTTTACTTCTTTTCAAAAAAGACAAATTTTTGGCAAAAATAGTGTGAATAGTGACCTATAATAGCAAATAAATTTTGTCTTTTTTGCTGTGAGGTCAACTTTTTTTTCTTTTTTCGTCGAGATTTATATACTAGTGCAAAAGTAAGTCAAGTGTTTTGTCAAAATAGTTTTTACCTATTTTGACTTTTTATTAAAATATTAAAAAATCCCCATATAGGGTGCATATACAACCAGGAACCAAAGTGTATTTCCCTACATTAACCTAACTATCCATGTTGAAGTGTTTCTAAAAAAACACTATCCATGTGAAGTTGTTAATAGGTGAATGGTATAGCGGCCAGGACCAACTGTGACCTAACCAAGGGTCACGCGCTCGAGACGCCAAGCCTTCTTTTTTTTCATGTTACTTTTAGTATGCACACACGGGACCCACTGGCAACAGAGTCGTAACAAAATTGAAATGCCACCTTTCCAATGTCAATAAGGCTTTTTTACGAGAAAAAAACCTCAAGGGGGTTTAACAAAATAAAAGCTGGCCACACTCCCTCTCTTTGCCATCCTGACGGCAGGACCATGCCATGTTGGCGCGCATAATCAGTGGCTCAGGCGTACACAGCTGAGATTTGCACCGTATTTGCATGCCGGAGCCAAGTTATTACACCAGTTCGATGTATGCCGCAAGTTCTAGCACCAAAGTGACCGTTCACGCCAAGTTCAAGCACCACCGGTGTAATTGACTCAATAAAAAAGTATGTATACCCAGTTTTGTCCCGGTTATTACAGGCCAAATGCCACTCCACTCCACCCGCCTGACCGCCCGAGCGAGCTCCGTTCCGTCCTCCTCTGTTTCATTTGCATCGAGCGCAGAGGAGACGCAGCTAATGGCGAACTAGGGTTTCGGCCCCTCGAACAACAGATCGGGCCGGCGATCGACGGACGGGCTTAACCAGGTCAGGCTCTCAACCGCCTCCTCCTTGATTCCTGGGCAAAATGGTGGATATTTTTTTCTCCTTCCGGAAATGGCTTCCTTTTCTTCTTGATTCCGTAGCACAACCATCAGGTCGGAGCGGCGGCGGTTGCAAGAGGAGAGGAGAGGAGGAGCGCTCGCGGGAGCTGTACCATGTCCATGTGGAGGCAGCATTACCACCGCGGCCACACGGGACATGACAAGGAGCACTTCTTTGCCGTGGCTTCGGGTGATTTCACCCGCAGTATGGTCAGTTAACTTGGCCCTTCCTCCCATCAATCCACTTCTTTTGATTGATATTAATTTGATAGTACACTGCTGGTCTACTATCATTAGTGCTATTTCTAATTTGATTGACATTAATTTGGTAACTAGGACTCCTACTTTAGTACACTTCTGGTCCACTACCATCATTGTGCTATTTCTAAATTATAATAAGATGCCTCATGTCACTTAAGCGCATTTGTTGTCCATAATCTGTGTGTTCCAAATATACGAGTTTTTGTTTCGTTTGTTTGCCATGTCCCTTTTGTATTTCCTGAAAATAGCACGGAGCTTTAATTGTCAGAGACAGTGAACCTTGTAACTCTTAAGTCTGTCTTCCTTGTTCTTGAATAGTGCATACCGTGGGAGGTTGGAAACCATTTGGGGAGCATGATCTCTGAGACCATCAAACTAGAAGCTCCTAATGGCATATTCTGTATTGGAGTGTGTAGAAAGCCGGGTGAACTAGTTCTTCAGTCTGGCTGGGATAAGTTTGTCGCAATGCATCACGTAGAAGAAAATTATTCTTTTTGGTTTGTGTACCGTGGGAACTCTACCTTTAAGGTTCATATATTCAATCCCAACGGTCGTGAGAAGGCTAGTTCCTGTTCTCAACCACCTTCTCAGAGCTTTGGAGGTGTTCCACCTGGCGCTATTTGCGATCATCATGTGCTGAATGGTAAGATTAATTTAGTATTCTAAAGTCTAATACTACTTGTACTGTGCTTTTGTGGTCATTGTAACAATGTGCTTGATGTGCAGAACAACTACTGTCTGATCCTGGACATGTTCAGACCTCCACTGACTCTGGCTATAGCACATTACCTGGCTGCCATCTAAGCAAAGCACAAGATGAGAAAGTACGTGAAATAGCTTGTACCATGAGATCTCAAGTTCCCCTTTATGTGGCAGTCATGAACAAAAGCAATGTCAACTTGAAGGACTGCTCTGTTGTAAGTTGGATCTTTTCCCTAACAATTTCTTGGTTATGTTATTGACCCCACTCCTACTGTTCAAGATTCCATCGTTGTAATAATGTCTTTTTATTTGGGTTACTGCAGAACTTACCGTTAAAGCTTGTGGAACATTTCAAAGAGGACACATCTAAAGCTACTATTCAACTAGAAGCCCCTAATGACAATATATACGGTGTTGAAGCTTGCAAGCACGGTGATGACCAAATAGTCCTCCAATATGGGTGGAGTAATCTTGTAGATGCTAATCGCATACAAGAGAATGACTTGCTTATTTTTATAACCAAGGGTAAAAAACGCCTTGAAGTTCGTATTCTTGGCACAAGTGTTCATCAGAGAACCTCTTCATGCTTTAATACGGGAAATATTTCTAGCACTCAAGAAATTTGTGAAGATTCACTTGAAATAACCGATCCAACCCCTCATACAGACTACTATGTGAGTAGTTCTGATGATGATCACATTGTGGAAGAAGGCACTAGAAAATCATGCTACTATGTGAGTAGTTCAGATGATGATCACATTGTGGAAGAAGGCTACTATGTGAGTAGTTCTGATGATGATCACATTGTGGAAGAAGGCACTAGAAAATCATGCTACTATGTGAGTAGTTCTGATGATGATCACATCGTGGAAGAAGGCACTAGAAAATCATGCTACTATGTGAGTTGTTCTGATGCTCATGATATTGTGGAAGAAGGCACTAGAAAATCATGTAGGCGGCAGAAGCAGGCACCTAGTCACTGTGCAAAAGCTCAAAAGGTGGCTTCAACATCCTCCCCATCTGCTGCTAAATCAGGTTATAACGCTATATTTATGTGTGTGTTTTTCCTTTTATCAACTTCCAAATTGCTTCTGGTTATGTTATGCTTATCTTATGAGGGTTGTGCAAGCTTTTCAGGATATGAAGCTCACACGCCGAATGAGCGAGCATCTGTGGAGTTTGGGGTCGATTTGGAACCTCATAGCTCCACCAGCAATCTCAAGGGGCCTTCCCAGCATCCCTACATTTTATCTGAAAAAGGGACACCTCTAACTAATGTGGAGAAGAAGAAAGTTGAGGAGAAAGTTCAAGCGATTCAATCTGAACTTCCTATCTTTGTGGCACTAATGACCAAAAGCCGGATTAATACCCATCATTTGGTGAGTTCAAATACATACTCTTTGACCTATTGTTTGTAGATAGATTGCGTTGATTTGTTAACTAAATGATCTTGAGACCTACTTGTGCAATCACTACATTACAAAGCCCTGTGCATGACCAATTTCTCATCTAAAAATGCATCAAAATTCATGTATTAATACATAAACACCGACTGTACTGTACGTGTGAATCATTCATTCCACTGAAGTAGTAGACATTGATCTGAAATTTTGATTTCTCATGCAACACTGCTGATCAGGACGTCTGCAAGGAATACGGTTCAAGATACATTCCACACATAAGCAGAAGAATGCGTCTCGTGCTTCAGTCGGAAGGAAGCACGACGGAGCAGCCAGCCAAAGTGGTAATAAATCAGAATGGTATGAGGTGGATTCGTAGTGGCTGGAAGAAATTCGTCGCCGACAATGATGTGCAGGAGGGGGATATCGCTCTCTTTGAACGGGCAAAGAGCACGAAAAAGCTCAGGATGACCGTGTATTTCGTCCGCAAGTCAGACATAGAGGTGTAGCTCAAGCCCTAGTATGTACTGGTAGCTAGTAATACATTGTCTGTATGGTTCTAACCGTGGTACCCTGCCATGACAAGGAGTGAACTTGTATCTAATTTGGGATAGGTTGGAGTCTAATCTGCCTCTAGTTAGTACTGTCTGATGCTCATATATTATTTGTGATTAGGAGGATGGCTCGAGGTAAACTGCACACACCATTATGTTACGTGCATGCTGTGTTCAGCTGGGATTGGATTACAGCGCTCGTTCGTGAACTAACTGTTTGGTTGGACTGCGTGATGCTTGTGTCTCCTCGGAGATGATATTTTTATTTATTTTTTGCTTTGCCTTGATGAGTTTTCAGCACTTGTGCGACTTGCCCAATCTTGTAAGATGTAGAATTTCAGTTGCCAACAGGGAGGGATGCTTTGTCTGAATCCTTGCTTGCCCAACAGATTCCTTGTCTGAAAACTGATCGAGAAGGCTTGCATGCGCATACCTGAACCAAGAAGGACATGGGGTATGCTGGTATGGCTGAGATAATTGATGATGATTGAATCCAAAGAAAACAAGAAACGGTTTATCCGTGCCTTCATTATATTCACTCACTGTTTTCTATTTCTTTTTTCATACCGTAACAACAAACACAGCACTATACCCTAAAAAAAACACAACACTATGCATGCATCATAGTAGTACATACACCCTATCCAGATGGCGATCCAGGTGCGCGCCCATGAGCAAACGTTCGCAAACAAAACAAAACATTCTAAATCACTAGTTAAGGGATACCCTTGCAAAGGTTACTCTCACCTTCTCAGGCGTGCCTCTTGTTACATCCTGAGAGTTTTTTTATTTCGTAGATTCGTTTATTTAAAACATTTTCTTTCTTAAACTGTGCATTCAAATCTCGAATCATTTTCACCCTTGGATTTCTTCCATCGAGATCTTTAAAACTAGATCCCATTTTAATAGATTTTGTTGAACTTTTTTTTTCATGAAAAACAGGAAAATCGGAAGAAAAAAGGCATATTTTTAAAATTTTCGAGAGGCACAACAATGCTTCTCGCGGAAGCAAGCCGTGCCACCTAACTAGGATGCTCCTGAAGGTGCTTCAGACAAGAGGTACTGATGTTGTATCTAATAGAGTTCATTCTCTGTTCCCATGTCTTAAATACCTATTAACCGAATCTTGCATTATACTAATTGTTTGGCATAAAAAACGATGTCCGGAAGCATGTCTTAGCTCTTAGTGCCTTCGTACATCTTTATGTCAAATGCCATGGCGGTTGGTGCAGTCCAAGTATTTTGTTCGACTACTGTTTTGTGGTGTGAGAGCTCTCATTTTAAAAGACACTAACAGTGTTTGGAATCTACTTCATCTCCACCACAGTAGAGGCGAGTTTTGAAACAAGATCCTCCCCTACGTAGCACAACGTTGTAATGATCATCCCAGAACCTAGTAAAACTGGAAACACTAGTAATAACTTTCTGGACAGTGATGTTTTAGAAAGGAAGACTTTGTTCATAAATTTGAGATCCAAAATGCCTACCCCCTTGGTCTTTTGGGACACACACTTTTGTCCCAAGCAACCAAGTGGTATTTCTTCTTAGTGGGATGGGATCCCCACTCCAGGAAAACCTAGACATGTCTTTGATCATCCTGCCTTTATAACAACTTGAAAAATCTAGTAATGTAAATATAAAGTTCTTTCTATGCCTCAATAAAAACCACCACAATTGTGCAAATGTCATCAAACACCCACCAAAATGCATGTTTTCTGGTGTTTTTTTTGTGAAGCATTGAAAACTTCGACTCAATTGTGGTGGTTTTTTTGCTATTTACTCTCCTGAAAAGGCCTAGATATGGTTGTAATTTAACTACAGTAATGTTCCATATCCAGTTGATTATCAAACATTTTTGCTTACGATATTAATGGTCAATTCAAAATTTTCCAATCACCTGGAGTTCTGACAAGTAAATGTGGCAATGCTTTGTTTTCTGGATAGCAGGAAGAATGCAGGATACATGTATCATAAAAGCTGCCATAACACATCTGAATATCTTATTACGAAGAACTTATTGGTCACATAGAGCTCCTACTCAGTACATCATACTAATGTTCAGGAGGCGCAGATCGCATGTGCGCATCATGGGTTTGCAAGACAGAACACGAGACAACGAGGTGCTGTTTCGCAGATCATCTCTTATTTATCGATGAGAGCAGTGCCTCTTCACAGCTTCGAAAGCGCGATGTCCATCACCTCGATCATGAAGTCTGCGACGCAAAGTTACAGTTATGTATCAGAAGCCAAGATAACATCTATCTATGCTATGAATGTGAGTACTAGCAGCAGATCCTACCGGAGTCCTCCTTGGAGAAGCACAACGGAGGCGTCACCCTGAACACATTGCCGAAGAAACCGCCCTTCCCCACCAGCACGCCCATATCTGTTCAGACAAGAACACACTCGGATATCAGGTCCAAAGCTCTGCTACTTCAGTTTTATAATTGCGAAAGTACAGAGACGCGACAGAGCTCGTCAGTTCGTGTAATCAATCACCTTTCATGTGGTTCATGACCTGCGCGATCTCAGCTTTCGCCGGAGTTTTCTTCTGGCGATCGGTCACCAGCTCGACCCCGAGAAGGAGGCCTTTCCCCCTAACGTCGCCGATAACTGCAAGAAGCCGAATGTAAGTAACAGAAGTATCCTCGAGGTATATGTGTTTGCGATGTGATTTTTTCTATCCGGTACTCACTGTCATGCTTCTCTTTCAGAGCGTTAAGTTTCTCCTTCAGGTAGGAGCCAACAACGAACGCATTCTCCTGCAGCTTCTCCTTCTCCAGTACCTTGAGAACAGCGTGGCCGGCAGCTGTGCTGACAGGGTTACCACCGAAGGTGTTGAAGTAGCTCCTGCGGGTTAACACCTTAGCAATCTCAGGTGTGGTAACGACCGCTCCTATCGGTATTCCGTTCCCTATGCCCTGAGGAAGAATGACAGGAAACATGTCAGCCTATAGTTTGATACAGTGTACACTGATGAAGCTGAACCTAATGACATAGTATAATGGAATGCATGGACTCTTTAAGTATGAAAACTTTGGAGAAACCATCAGAACTCACCTTTGCCATAGTGACTATATCAGGGATGACGCCCTGCCCTTCGAATCCCCAGAAGTGGCTTCCAGTGCGCGCAACCCCCGCCTGAACTTCGTCGGCGATGCAGAGGCCACCAGCTTTCCTTACCATATCGTAGGCCGCAGGCAGGTATCCTGGTGCTAATTCCACTATTCCACCAACTCCCTGCAGAGAGGAACATTCCAATTGTTTCGTTAGGAAATCTCACTTTTGAGCATGGTGATAGTAGGACAATGTGTTGGTATTAGCATACCTGTATGGCTTCTGAAATGAAACCTGCAACTCTTCCTGTAGTCCCATAGTCAATGGTTTCCTGAATATCTCTGGCATATTTCTCTCCGTCTGACCCGAAAGCGCCTCTATATGGGTCTGGATTAAGAGCATGGTGCACTCCGGTCTGGACACATTGCAAATGAGTAAATGTCACTAATAAGCCATGAAGTAAAACAAGGCATCTTTCAATATACTCCCTCCGTTCGAAATTACTTGTCTCGGAAATGGATGTACCTAGAACTAAAATACAACTAGATACATCCATTTCTGCGACAAGTAATTCCGAACGGAGGGAGTAGTATTTTAATTTCCTTACCTGGACAACATTAAATTTCCAGTTGGATTGAGCAGTGGCACCCATTGTTGCAGCTGCATTCCCATGGTATCCATTCCTAAGTGAAATAATGTCATGGGAACCAGTGTAAAGCCGAGCGATCATCAGTGCAAGCTCATTTGCCTCCGTGCCAGAATTTGTGAAGAAAACAACCTGCAGGGAACAAGAGGAGCTTCACATGAGGCTCAATGAAACAAACAAAATAATCTATGTGTATCAGACATACCCTACATTTTAAGCCATAATAAAATTCCAAAGTACTTTCAGGCACTGAGATGCGTAATGTTTTACTAGGCTGACAGTACCTTCAGATCACCGGGCATTTTGGCCGCCAGAGCCTCAGCAAAGTCCGCAATTGCATGGTTCAGATACAGAACTGTGGAGTGCTGTATCTTCTTTGCCTGGTTGACTATGGCTTCGATCACATCAGGATGGCAGTGCCCGCAACAAACGGTCGCAATGCCACCGAAAGCGTCCAGGTAGCGGCGGCCATCCTCATCGAACAGGTACTGCATCTTTCCATCGACTATGTTCAACTGCAATAGTTGTTGAGTGAAAAAAGAATCAATTTTCAGTGCTGAAATCGCAACTTGTCTTGCATGATGCTAGCTTTTCACACTTAATCACCAAGCTACACTCTTTGTCCTGGTCAGACCAGTACATTGAATCCAACAGAAAGTACCGAGAGAGGTATATTGAAGTAACAACAGCTAACTTTTTGTCCTATTGCCCTCTGTTCTCACGAAAGCTTTTTTTCAAGAGTTCAAGGGGATCTGAAAGAGCTAACTGACGGAAGAGTTACCTCTTCCATTTTCTCTCTTTGTGTCGTGCAAATTGGATATATCTTCACAGAAAAATATGTTTTACACGTGCTATATGTGTTGCTCTGAGTACAGCATGTGAGCTCCAAGGTTGGTGGGTGAGCCGTGAGCATGGTAGGTACACAACTTTTGACACTATCTGCAGAAACCCCACCTTGACAGTATTTTATAACTTTGGCAATACATGTGCAGTTGGAAACCAGTAAGTTGTCCGTGATCACTCTCTTTATGAAACACTGGTGCTCCAGCCACAGATGTAAGATCTCATCACAGACTTGCACAGGAGTTCGTTGTGCGAAGCTGCCAGTGATAAGATACAACCACAACGTTTTTGTGCTTGACTCATCTGGTCCCAATAAAGCATAGCTACACTAGTACAGATGTACTCTAGATCCAATGGAGTGCAGAACTCTGTTGCTACTACTAACAATATTAGCTCTATGATTCCCTTT